TTCAGGGCAATAACCTAAAAATAAGGTATCCAATTTGGCTGATAATTTCAGGGCAGGTAGACCTTGACCTAATGAATACTTTAACTTCTTTTCTGATTTGCTCTAAATGCTTTAGTTTTTGAGATATGAGTTAAAAACTGCATTTTACCCTATGTTCTATTTTAATCATGGCGGCCATGGTTTCTGAGGAAACAGAAAATAAAACACAAACTTTATTTTAGATAACCTCAGAATCATTCAGCTTAAGTTTGGTTTAATTTGGTTCAGTAGTTTCAGAGGAGAAGATGTTTTAAAGATAGAAAACATGATAAATAAATTGTGTAAAATTGTCCTTAGAGGGCAATAACTTCTGAAGGGGTTAATTGACAATTTTGGTCATATAAAAACTTATTTGTAGATCTTACTTTGCTGAACATTTTTGCTGTTTACAGTTTATCTTTATCTATAATAGTATTCAAGATTATAACCGAAAACTGCAAAATTTCCTTAAAATCATCAATTTAGGGCAATAATCTAAAAATAAGATATCCGATTTTGCTGATAAGTTCAGGGCAGGTAGACCTTGACCTAATGAATACTTTAACTTCTTTTCTGATTTGCTCTAAATGCTTTAGTTTTTGAGATATATTAAAAACTGCATTTTACCCTATGTTCTATTTTAATCATGGCAGCCTTGGTTTCTGAGGAAACAGAAAATAAAACACAAACTTTATTTTAGATAACCTCAGAATCATTCAGCTTAAGTTTGGTTTAATTTGGTTCAGTAGTTTCAGAGGAGAAGATGTTTTAAAGATAGAAAACATGGTAAACAAATTGTGTAAAATTGTCCTTAGAGGGCAATAACTTCTTAAGGGGTCAATTGACAATTTTGGTCATATAAAAACTTATTTGTAGATCTTACTTTGCTGAACATTTTTGCTGTTTACAGTTTATCTTTATCTATAATAACATTCAAGATAATAACCAAAAACTGCAAAATTTCCTTAAAATTACCAATTTGGTGGCAGCAATCCAAAAATGGGTTGTTAGATTCATCTGAAAATTTCAGGGCTGATAGAACTTGACCTAATGAACATTTGTACTCCATGTCAGATTTGCTCTAAATGCGTTAGTTTTTGAGATATAAGCCAAAAACTGCATTTTACCCCTATGTTCTATTTTTAGCCATGGAGGCCATGTTTTTCGACGAAACAGAAAATAAAACACAAACTTTATTTAAGATACCCTAAGGATCATTCAGCTTAAGTTTGGTTGGAATTGGTTCAGTAGTTTCAGAGAAGAAGATGTTTGAAATAGTTTACACCGGACGGACGACGACGACGGACGAAGACGGACGCCAAGTGATGGCAAAAGCTCACATTTCCTTTGGTAAGGTGAGCTAATAATAAAAATACCTCATAGTAAATATCTCTCATAAATGTTGTGTTTTTAGGTTAGTTCACATTATTAGTTAATCAATGATTTTTAGTTTGTAAGTAAACAGAAATATAATTTATACCCCTAAATCATAAACCCAGAATAACATGTTGTATTTTCTTAAGTTTGTGATAAAACCACATAAAAAAATCATAGTTTTCACATTACAGTTATGTTTCTCTCTGGCGATTATTAGTCTTTTAGATAAAGTATTTGAAAGAAACTGTTAAAACAACAAAAAAGCCTAACTAACTAACTCGTTGGTAACCACATGCATTTTGTTATGTAGCACCTAAATATCACAAAATGTTATCAAACTCGAATACAACAGCTAAAAGTCTTTGAACTCTGATTTATGGAATAAGCTTTAAACGTTTTAGAATTTTTCTTTATTTTTTTTTTTTATTTAAAAGCCGATGTCAATGTTAGATCTAAGTTAGAATTAAATAAACACAGCACCACATTTAAAGTGTGTTTTTGGTGAATTCTCGGAAAAATCTTAATCACTCACTTGTTTGTAGTAGTCTTACAGCGTTTTAAAGACTGTGTGATGCCATCAACAATTCAACAATTTACTACAAATCCTCTAGCATTGTTGCAATCATTAAATTAAAAAACAAAATAATTGTTTTGATATACTACAACATTGTTCAGTATGAAAGAGTGAAATGATAGAGAAAAACCGAACAAAAAAAGTGAACTACAGTTGTACTTAATGAATGTAAAGGGAATTTTATCAACCAATGCAATGCATGTGAGTTACTAAAAAGCAATTAAAATGTAAAGTATAGAGTTTTATTTATTGAGATGATGTGTGTAAAAGTGTGTCTTATAAAAAAAACTAGCTTTTAACAAGTCTACTTTATCAAAACAATTCTTTTGTTGTTAATATAATAATTGCAACAATGTTAGAGGTTTTGCAGTAAATTAATAAATTGTCGTACATCAAAGTCTTTAAAACGCTGTAAGACTACTACAAACAAATGAGAGATCATTACCAGTGCTAAATCCTCTTATAAAGTCCTTTCGGTTTAGTGTAAGAAGAAATAAATTGATAGCTAAATGATTATAAGTCTTTTGAACAAATAAGTTCAGCGTCATCTGTTATGGTAAAAGTTGCATCATTGAAAGCATCACTTTTTATGGTTTAAAGACACAAATGTAAGAAGTAATAAAAGGTGTTTGCTACTGATATTCAAAATGACATCATATTTGAGGGGCGGTATGAGGGGTGTCATTCCGAATGCTCGAAAAAAAGAGCATTCTTTCCCGGATCCCGAAAAAAATAGTCACTCATTCCCGAGTCCCATTAAGGGTAAATCGCGAATTCCCACGAAAATAAAGGACCAATCTCGAATTCCCGCAAAAATAAAGGCCTAATCCGACGTTATGAAAAATGTCCTTCCGCCGTTTATATTTCTTAAGTAACGTCTTTATCGATTAATAATGTATGATACATCAAACTAAGGGATAAAAAATAAAAGTCTACGTGGATGAATATATATATATACCCATTTGCAAAATTCGAATATTTTGCCAAACTATGATGCCTCTAAATTTTTTCGCCTGAAAAGTAAGGAAAATGTTGTTTTACCTGTTTAAACAATATACTATATCAATAACGTGAATTTCAATATGTATTTTTTTACCAAAAGTGCAATTAACATGTGTGAATTAAAACATATGGAGAAATATAGGGGTTCCGAAGGAGAAGTGGTGGAAGGTATCAAAGGGAGATTCAAAAATCACAAATCAAAGAGCGACCGACAAAATCTTGGCAAAAAACCCCGAAAAACGACTAAAGACAGACAGTAGTCTACAAAACATTCTATAAAGGATGAGCCACACGAAGCTCAACAAAAACCGGGGTGGTATTAGTTACTCCGGAAGGGTAAGCATATCATCCTGCTACACCTATGCCACCCTTTGAGAAATTGTTAAAAGATAGACTAGGTAGAAGCCAGAGAGGTCAAAATTTAAGAGTTAAAAAATTGAAACAAAGAAAATCACTTTTATACATTAAAGAACAATTTGGCTGAATGGCAATAATGCAACAACACAGGTTTACCAAATCAAACATCAGAGGTCAGCATGTGACCTTCAAGACCCCCGTACTGTGTGATTAGCTGTAAACTATCTAGAATCTAGTCAAATTGTAAATAAATTGAACATAGACAAGTTGATCATCACCATTAAACTTTTAGAAGACAAAAATCATGACGATATCTTACGACAACCACTGACGAATCTTGACATCAAACAGAATTAAAAACAGTGGAATAGAATTTTAATACCTCCTCTGCAACCTCTTATTTTGAAGTTTTGACAGCTGGAAATGAACTTCAAAGATTGATTATTACTGTTCAGAGTATCAATTTTGAAAAATTTGATAAAGTGATTCTATGAAAATATACGACAACGTTATGACTTTACAGGAGGGCAAATATGGGTTTCCGTCTGTTTAACTTAAGGATAATTTTAGTTATCAATGTGGTTTACCAAATAAAGAGCATTTCATTTCTAATATTGCACTCCACTAAATATTGTTTCCGATCAGATGATAAGGTTCATTCTGTTGCTTAAATAGGTTTGTGGAGTATTTTTTTTTATTGTTTTTATTCATGCTAACCGATCTGATATTGAGAGATATACATTCTCTAGATGGGTCTTCAATCATTTCATGTTTATATCTCTTTAATAGTAAAACTTCATTTAAAATCGCACATTAAACGGAAACATTCGTTAATGGTCAAACATGTTAATTGCCTTTATCAGAATATTATCTTTGTTTCCCTCATCTTTGTTAGGTATTTATCATTCTGTAAATATACTGAAATAAACTTGGACCAATACATTAACGACAAGCTTTGTGTTTAAATGCCAATGATAGTTTAAAATAATTTTTGTGAAAACATTCGTAATAGAAACACGATTTGAAATTGAAAAGGCGAGAATTATATGTTGGATTAAAAAATTACAGAAATTTTTACATTGTTACCTTATGATACTTACTAAATTTTAAAAGTCAAGGAAGAAGTCGGTGCAAACACCTTATTTTACCATCATTGTATATGGCTATATATACATTCCGCCTATGTATTCGTATAATTAGCAAACAATTGTAAATCAACTGCTGGCCATTAATATGAAATATTCCCAAATGTACTGAAAATATTAAATTGTCTCTCGCCTGGTGAAGTTAGATTATGTTCTAGCGATTTTACTGGACTTTTATTGCACAAGAAGTGTCATTCTATTTTCTGTGTCAAAATTCTTTATACTGCGAGTTGAAGAATTAATCTCATTTGTGTCAACACAGTGGTAGACTATGTAAGATAAAACCTACTTTGAAATATTTCATTGTTCCGTTAAACGTACAAAGAATACATACATATATATATATTTCTGACTTACAATTGTTACTTCTGAGAAATTAGATTATTTGCTGTAATTTGATAATAATTAATCTGTAAATTCCTTAGTCTTGTATAAACTCAGCAAACTTTGATAAAATAATTAATATTAATCGTTTGTAAACAGATATATATAGCTTCATATTGATTATAAATTAAATAAAAACTTACCTAAAATTAATGCATGTAGATATACTAATATCAAATCTGTGTACATTATTAAATCTCGGATCTCTAGAAAGTCAATTGCGCTGTCTTTTATGCCTTTGAGACTGTTAGGATTAGCACTCTTGGCACATTGATGAATTAGAAAGATTTTCTTAACTCAACTAACACTCACTTTGGCTAACAACGCAGTCTGAGAACACTCCAAAAAAGTTGTCTTTTAATTTTAAATTTGATAAAGGTAAATCCCAGACTGATAGTTCTGAGTGATGTCTTCACTGCAGTTTGGAAGATAATGATTTTTTTTCTGGTTTAGATACAAAATACGTTTACCGAGCTGAAACCTGTAATGTAAAACTTGTTTCTTCTGATCCACCTTTTCAGTTTTAAAAGTAGAATATTACTTAACCTTGTTAATTAATCGTATATTTCGTACTTCGTATAGATGATATAATGTAGTCTGAATCCTTGACAATGTAAAAATAACTTGAGCGTATATCCACTCGATCGAAGATATTAAACCAATTAACAACGTCCTCACATTATAAGGTTTAATAAACTATTCTTAATTTAAAGATTGACTAAAAAAGCAATCGTGTGACTGATGACGCGACAAACTCTGGTCTCAGCTTGGTAATTAAATCTCTTTTGTGCAGCTCTTCCACAAAAAGCTTAATCGAGTAAGATAATATACAGACTATGTTTTCTTCGCATGTTATCCTGGATCCCTACAGGTACAGCTATCTCTTGCATTGTTAACTTGATTTTATACTCTGGAACTCGGTTACAAATTCATTCATAAATAGATGAAATCAATTTCTGTAATTATCATAGTTTGTTTGTTACCTTTCCTCACAAATACCTGACTCATGAAAAAAAAACTTTTAGTAAAAGTAGTAGTTATAATCGAATTAAATTCACCAACATTTAACCGAGAGTTCTCCGTACAAAGTAGCTCATATTCAAATGTCACAATGTATCTTGAATGTGAATTTGCGTCTTTGATATCTTGAAGGCTTTCAATTAATTTAACTTTATAATATAAAATTAACTAGATTCCAATAATGCATTTGTTTTCAAACATTGCTTTTTTTCTCTCCAAATTTAAAAAAAATGCTTTTCAAGGTTTTCATTTACTTGCATATCTTTAAACATTTACAAATATCACGCTGTCCCTGTTGAAAAATATAAAACCATCGGTATGAATTAAGTTTAAATCACATCATAACTTTTTCAGCTTCCGAAGAATACTTCATTAAGTGTTTACAGTTTCCTGTCTAGTAACTAATTGCAGATTCTGATACATTACCATGGACTATAATAAATACAAGTGATAATGAATATGGTGTATTCTTCTCAATAACCGACCAATCAAATCACAGCTGAGTGCCACTCTCAATTTGTCGTCGATCCCGTGTAATTGTAGGTTACAGTTAGAATATGAAGTACGAGTCTAATTGATAATCAAATTTTCTTGTTTGACATAAAATAACAGAAGTATTGATTGTCAGATTGTCGCGTTACTTTGGCTGTTTTTACTAGTTGTCGACTACTAGGGATTGCTATTATCCTCCAAAAGTGTTGGGTATTATGATATGTTAAAGCTGCCCATAATGATCGTTCATGATAAAATACATTATGGATTGTTTGAGTGTTCAAGTCTATAGACACGACTGTGTGTTAGATGAAATAATTGCCACTGCATTAAGTTGTTTTGGATAAAATGTTTGGTTTGATTTATCCACATTACTTTGTCACTAGCCGTTTAACATACTTGTGGCTTGAGTATGACTTATTATCAGAATGATAACTGATGAAACTATAAAACACATAACATTCATTGTTTCTATTCCTTTTATCTTTGGTAGTGTCAGCATTTTTAGAAAACCTGATCATCGCTTTTAAACTTAGAATTTAGATATACTGCGAAGTAGCTTTCAAATCTTCTAATTATACAGTTATGAAAAGTAATTGCTCTCGCTGTTACAAAATGGATTATCTTCATAAAATTCTATTATAGGCTTATTATAATTCTAAGCTGGTGTATCAATTCTAATTAGATTACTTGGTAAAGATTGCTGTCATTTAATGACAAATTGCTTTAACGTTAAACAGCACAATTTTTCCGCATACATTTTGACACTATTATAATTAAGTTTAGTTCAACAGCGAAGTCGGCTTTTATTTTGCAGAGTAAGCATCAAAACAGAAAAAAATAACGATTTACCCTTTGTGTTGTGAAGAACGAAGATGAATATTTGACAAGTTTTAGGTAGACTTCCTACGTTTTACTGCATATAGTATTCATTTATTTCAACTTACGAGAAAAGCGTCCTTGTACTTTTTACATTTATTATGTATCAAACTACAATCTTTTAACGTAGAGGAAAGTATGTATAATAAATTGAATGTTTAAGAAATATATGAACTGCACCTAAGCGACAAGGAAACAATTTGAAAGTCCAATCTACACAAACAACACTAATAATACATTACACCATACGAGATTGTCAAAGTTGATCTCTTATGACTGACACATATTTGACGACAATGGAAAAACAACAGACACTTGAATAAAAATGCGAAACAAGCAAAAGAATCCCCTCCCCTAATACAAATAAATAAGGGAGATATAAGTATAAGATACAAATGTTTTTATCGTTTGCGTTTTAAGCAATTGTTATGCCAGATAAAGGGACAAATAATAAACAAGATGCCACAGTTAGTTGTCTTTTGTATATATAGGTTGTCTAATTGAAATACAACCCCATCATTTTATTCATATCAACGAACATTCTAATTGGTTGCTTGCTAAAAAAATGGCAATACGAACAAGTCAAAGAACACATGGCAGAATATATCTTTTAACAAGCACTTGTACGATAGATTAAATTTTGTGCTTAACTGTGCGAATTTCAGAAACACAGATCGTTTATCTTAGTCTGTTCTGATTTAGTCCTTTTGGTATGATTATCCTAAATGGTTTATATACTCGTAATTTGTATCTTAAAAATATAATCTCGAGAGAACCTGGTGACGGTTAATCCCTAATCACATATATTACGCACTGAAAAATATAACATATGCTTCCATGAGGCAATTACATTTTATAAACTTTGAACGTTAAATAGTAAATTTAGATGTATAGTTAACAAAAGACGTGTCTTTGTTGTTCTACTGTAAACTGGAAAATTTCTTTCCGTCTTAAATTCACGACCGCTTCATGTTCGCGATTTCATGGGGGGTTTATTTATGTACGGTCTTAGTCCTATGACTCGAGTTCCTATGAAATATTTGTGGTAGTTTTAATTATCCGCATATTAACTCCTACTACGAAAAAGAAATTGCCCCGAAAATTTTCCTGTTATGTATTTTGATTAGTTAGGGGGAAATATAGGCAGCAGAAGTTTGCCGATGTTCAAATCTCATAATCGCTGGATTTCAACTTGCCACGAGCGACACGAAATGTAGCAATTGGGGAGCAGGAGATGCTTTTCTACATTAATAAGAGACCGGAAATATGCTAAATTAATCATATATCAGTTTTAAACTTTTTTTTTGAAACATTGAAGAACTTTTCAAAATGACCAATTGTGCGATAAAGGCTTTGTTCCTTTCCATCAAAATAAACTCAAGATAAACTCAATGTGACTATCATTAAAGCACATCAGTTGTTATAATCTTCGAAACATTACTTTAGATATAACATTATCTCAATGGCCTCTTAAACTCATATAATCACACATACACGAAAGGTTATCGACAACGTGTATAGATTATCGAATTCTTTTAAACAAATATGATTTTGTCACACAAGCTATCATGTATATAATAATAACTGCTCGATATATAAATTAATAGGTGTACTGAGCAGTCAATGCTATTGTTTGATAAGTAACATTTGAATGAAACAGAAATATGTTGTTCGTAAATCATCATTCATTACTTCCGTCAAGCCACCATTGTATGTAAGGGGACGACCATTTGATATTCTGGGGGGGGGCAGGAGGATTTTGAAAATAAATAACTCAGCCTTGATAATCACAAAAATAAATGGTTTGTTCTGTGGTAGTTTGAAAATAAATTACCTGACTTGCAATGTATTGAAAATAAATAACTCAGCAGGTCTAATCGAAAGTATGAGATGGCACCAGATTCTTCATAAATTCATCTTTTTTCCAAAAAAAAATCGGGAAACACTTCCCATATCTTTTAATTATTAAAGTATAAATATTATTTAAATATACTTGAAATGTCAGAAAATTGGTTTCATTTAACTTGAGGTTAATTGTCTCAGGAACACTTACCTCACTTTTATTAAATCAGGGCCGTAACTACATTGAGACAAATGCCTCATGAAGGAAATTTCAAAACCAAACGCTTGTCTCCATATCAAATTGTGTTCACCGTGAGTGTTTGCAAGAAGCAAGTTCTGTTCTCCCTCAGACGTAGCCCCTGATTTTTTGGGATCAATGTTTCTTATTTATTTGTCTTTTGTTCATTGATTGCCCTTCTGTATTCTGTTAGTGTTGCATTCATTTTGTAATTTAGTAATTTTATTATTAACTTGATCATGAGTTTAAAAAAACACAGCAGCCACAGACTTAACTATGTGAATTACATTTTTGCTTTATCATGCATATTTGTCTTTTGATGTTGTCCCTAGAAACTTAAGTCTTACACTGAATCTATAACGTGATTTTGCTTTGAGACCAAAATATTGTCATAAAATTATTAAAACAGAACTTGCATTTTCAGTTTAAGAAAGGGTCTGGGGAACACCCAGAAGGCATGATTTTGCATCATTTGTTCTATAGCTTCTTGGGCCTTCAGCGGATCAAAAACCCTTCAAAAAAAATTTTGCCTCGCTCTGCTCGGCGAAACATGTTTGCCAATACTTTTAAAAGAGCCTTAGTTACAACCTAACTTTAATACTGTGTATGTATGCAATACATGTATATGCATTGGGGAATATAGAAGATTCATTTCTGCAGAGGATGATAATTAATTCTGATTAAATGGTACATAATGACTTGACTATACATGAATTATTTATAATAAACAAATAATTTAAAAATTGTATGTTTTCGAATATTATAAATATAGTTGTGAAAATAAATAATCAGTCCCTTGCTTTAATGAAAATGAAAAATCTTGCTTCAATAGTGCAGAAAATAGATAATCTGTCCTCTTAGTTTACAAAAATAAATAACCGATCCAAAACAAATCCTCCTGGCCCCCCCCAGAATATCAAATGGTCGTCCCCTAACGGAAGCAATGGTTTGATTTTAAGCATCAAAATAACTCAGGTTAAATAGATTGTTTCTTTCAATATTTACAATTCACCATTTCAGAATCTAATCCATTCTGTGTGATATTATCAAAAGAGTATACCAAAACGTTGTGATTGGTTACAAACGTCATAATCAATGAAAATTCAACAAATGAAGTGACGAAAATTTAATTTTTGAGGTAGGAATAATAAAATTTACTTATAATCCTTCAGATTCTGAAACGGCGAATCTAAGAGTACCAAAACACATATGTTAAAGAGGGAAACGAAGTTGACATGACAATACAAAAACGAGACAAACCGAAAGTAGCAATAAAGGTGTAGTCAACTATGAAAACAACTTTTTTTCCAGAAAACAACATAAATTCAAGCTTTCGGCTGTAATATCCTTCTAAATTGAGAGTGATGTACCTGCACCAAATTAGGAATATGACGGTTGTTTTCAATTCGTTCCGTTCGTTGATAAAGTCTCACGGTTGATTTTTTTGAGTTTAAGGGACTTCCCCCTTTTTGAGTTCGGTATTTTTGTTATACTTTATACCTTATTTCGAAAAGGCACAAGTTAACTATAATACTAATAATATATTATAATAAATACTTTATTCAAAGAGGGTAAAATCAGTTAGTACAATACTAATCTAACCTGATGCCGTCCAAATGACTCAAAATATAATAATATAATATAAACATATACATATACATAAATACAACTTACTATGCAAACAAATGGTGAAAAACATACAGATT